GTAACACCATAGCAACACACTACAAACACTCGAAACATCATAGCAACAGACTACAAACACGTGTAACACCATATCAACACACTACAAACACTCGAAACATCATAGCAACACACTACAAACACTTGGAACACCATAGCAACACACCACAAACATCATAGCAATACACTACAAACACTTGGAACACCATAGCAACCATATAGCAACACCCTGGCAACAGGCTTTGCATGGGGAAGCATAAAAAAACAATGCATTCATTAATATAATCAACTATAGAACTGATAATTTATAGAACCATATATATTTTTGTTCTATATTTATGTTGTTAAGTTCCATAAAACACAATCACTGTACAGGTATTATCTATAATTTACTTTAAAATATATATTATAGGTTTTAAAATTAAGATTAATGTATAGTATTTTCATAATATTGTATTATACTATAAATGAAATATCCATAATTTAGTTAACAAAAAATATATATTTTTTCAAAATTAATATTAATGAATAGTGTTTTCATAATTGTTTTTAGCGTTTTCAAAAGTTTCCCAAAAATCACACGAAAAATACATTATTATAATAAATGATTATTAAATAATAAAAATTTAACATCAACATTTAAATTATTCTGAATGATAAATGAAATTATTTAATAATAAATTATTGTAAATGAAACCAATCACTATGGGTTCTTTTTGCCTTATTTCATTACAATTCTATTTAAAATTTGCATTATCGTAATTAAAGCAGTATACATTTACAGAATATCACACAGACTTGGCGAAAACACCCAGAACACCCTATAGCAACCGCATAGCAACGCACTAAAACCACTTGGAACACCATAGCAACTGCATAGCAACACCCTGACAACAGGTTTTGTATGGAAAAGCACAAAAAACAATGAATTCATTAATGTAATCACTTACAGAATCGTTTATATTTTGGTTCTATATTTACGTTGTTAAGTTTCAGATGGTTATATGTCGACCTGAAATGACCTGTTGTACTGTATGCTGACCTGAATACAGTGTGCGTGGAGAAATATTGTGCAGTAATATTAGATTAGCAGACCTGCAGAATTCTGTAATACGATTGACCGATGCTTCTATAATGACTCTGATTCGACTCACATCACGTCATACCTTTCACAATCTAATGAAGACGCCCAATTACCACCGGAGACCGTCTTAACCTCATCTCTGAGTTTTCAGATTTCAGACTTCCAAAAGGTACTTCAATTAAACATTGCATATATTAGAAAGCACAATAAATTGCCAAAAACAAACCGGAGTGAACGTCATTTAAGTATTATGCAGAAAAATGAGTCAGTGACATTTTCAGTCTTTCCGAGAAGCCCAATTTGAGTTTGACCACCAGATCACCATTGGCTGTATCCTATGGGACCATGTGACGCAGGACAGATGCTGAGGATCTTCAGTAACGTGAATAATCAGGTGTATAAAAGCAGTGGCCAGGAGACAAAGAGAGACAGACAGACGGGAACTGAGCCGAGGAAACTATTCTTCATCCGTACAGGTGTCAGAGATCATACACAACCGCACAGCTGAAAATACATCCGGACTGTGAGTACTTTGATTCTTCAATGTTTTGAGTGTTATATAATATATATTGTTAGAAAAATGCAAACTTCTAAAAACATTTATAGGTAGTTGTGTACTTTATTTACAAATGTCACATTTCAAATGTATGTGCATTTATTAAAACAAAATGATTTATGAGCTTGTTAATTGGGAAATAATATAGGGTATTTGAACTTTTATAATTGCATTAGTTAATCATTATATAATATATATTGTTAGAAAAATGCAATCCTTTGAAAACATTTATGGGTAATTGAGTACTTTATAGACAGTTTTACTAAACATTAAAAATGCATTTATTAAAATAAAATTTTATGAACTTATATTAATTGGGAAACTACATGGGATATTTGAACTTTTATAAATGCATTTGTTAATTATATAATATATATTGTTAGAAAAATGCTAACTTTTAAAAACATTTATGGGTACTTTATTTACAAATTTCACATTTCAAATGTATCTGCATTTATTAAAATGAAATGTTTCTGAACTTATGTTAATTAGGAAACTACATGAGATATTTTATTTTTTATCAATGCATTTGATTATCATTATTTAATATATACTGTTAGAAAAATGCAAACTTTTAAAAACATTTATGGGTAGCTAGGTACTTAATTTTTTTTTTTTTTAAACTAACCATCTCAAATGTTTGCGCATTTATTAAAATTAAATGTTTTTGAGCTTATGTTAATTGGGAAACTACGTTACATATGTGTACTTTTATAAATGCATTTTATTATCATTATATAATATATATTGTTAGAAAAAAAGCAAACTTCTAAAAATATTTATAGGTAGTGGGGTACTTTATTTACAAATTTCACATTTCAAATTTATGTGCATTTATTAATATAGCATGTTTTATGAGCTTGTATTAATTGGGAAACTACATGGGATATTTGAACTTTTATAAATGCATTTGTTAATCATTATATAATATATACTGTTAGAAAATTGCTAACTTTTAAAAACATTTGTTAGTCATTAAAACGAACTGGGAAAAACGCTTAAAATGGAAACTATTTGCAGCGCCTAAGATGCATTTACATTTTTTTGTTTTAATCTAAAATTTTGATATTGAAAATAAGACAAATGTGAGCCTGGAGCACAAAAGCAGTCTTAAGTCGCTGGGGTATATTTGTAGCAATAGCCAAAAATACATGGTAAGGGTCAAAATTACCGTAAACATATCAAAACTTAATTTTTGATTAGTAATATGCATTGCTAAGAACTTAATTTGGACAACTTTAAAGGCGATTTTCTCAATATTTTAATTTTTTGCACCCTCAGATTCCAGATTTTCAAATAGTTGCATCTCGGCAAAATATTGTCCTATCCTAACAAACCATACATCAATGGAAAGCTTATTTATTCAGCTTTTAAAAATTGACCCTTATGACTGGTTTTGTGGTCCAGGGTCACAAATGGGGCTCATATTGCCATTATTTATCAAGTGCCACATATGCAAAAAGGACAAAAACTGGTAAATTGATATCAAAAGAAAACCAAAATCTGTCTGAATATTCAGTCTAATGCAGATGTTTGTTCTGACCTGGTTTAAACCTCTGCAGAAAGCCATGATTTCACTCAGCAGCTGTCAGACGCTCCTCCTGATGGCCGTCTGCGGTGTTTTCTGCTGCAGGACTCTTGCATTGCCTGCCATCTCCGCATATCCTGACATCAGGTGAGACATAAAACACAATTAATGTACAGTTCATAATTTAGTTAACAAAAATGTATTAGAGATTTTTTTAAATTACGATGAATGTATAGTTTTCATAATAATATGTAATAAATGTAAATAAATTATTTTCTATTATTAGTTAACAAAAATTTTTTTTTATTTATATTTCAAATTAATTTAATCCCAAAATCCCATGAAAAAATAGTAAATTATTTGAAATACATGAAAATAATGTCACAATGCAAAACAAACCAATAATGATATAAAATAGGTTTACTTTAAAACAATTGATATTGCTAACCTATTTTATATCATAATGTGTTCGTTTTGCATTGTGACAATTTGCATCCAAAATTTGCATTATTGTAGTTAATTCAGACACACACACACACACACATATGCATATATTGGATGGCATATAGGCTCCATTAAAAACGTTTTCTTTTTAATTTTTATTTCTGAAATTCACTCATAAATTATATTATAAATAAATATTCAAAAGTTTAATATACTTGAAAAATGACTGCGACAAATGATCTTATTTTCTTTGCATCGAGTACATAGTTTGTATTTTGCATCTTAATTCTTTCCAGACCAGGCACTCTTGATGAAGACGGAGAGGACGACTGGACGAGAGACCTGTCATTACAGGATCTGGAGGCATATAAACTCCTGTATGAACTCGCAAACACCGTCGAGAGGTTCGTAGAAACACACTATGACATTAGCTACGGCTGTATGTCATACCATCAACACTCTTATAAAAATATTAGAGATCCATTTCCAGAGGAAAGACTGAAGCTGTAAATGTGATGATGAGGAAGATCTTTTGTGGGCACAAACAATCAAAGCACTGAAGACAATAAAAGACAATTTATACAATAAAATAAAACGTGCTTTTTATCTGTATTTGCTTTAGACCATCCAGACACGCTGATGGGCTCTTCACGAGCGGATACAGCAAACTGCTCGGCCAACTGTCTGCTAAAGAATATCTGGAGTCTTTACTCACAAAGAGAGTCAGGTAAAGATGGCCATATAATCTCTTATAGACGTGAAAATGCATTATCCAAACTGAAATGGTTGTAATTCATGAACGCTTTGGAATACATAAGGTTAGTCTCTATTTCAAAGAAGACTATCAGCAGCTTTTTGGTGAAGTGAAAGCATTAAAAAAAAAGTAGTTTAAAAAGTCTTAAAAAGTGCAAGTTTACTGTAAAGTAAAAGCACTCTACTTTTTCATCTTATATAAAATAAAATAAATTAGAATCTAAAATTGCTATAAAATCAAAGCAATATTTCTAAATAAATTATGTTCCAAATTTGAAGTTGATATTACAAAAATTGAGGTTCCTATGATATTTTGTTTAGGTGCTTTACACCCAAACTCCATTAAATGTATATTTAAAATGTATTAATTGATACATTTCTGTCACAATATTACTGTTTTCACGAAATAATCTTGAGACTTGATATGTGTTTTGTCAAGTTTAGAAAAAGTTTTGATTAAAAAAATATTGTAATGAATTTTGTAATATGACACTTGACACCGCCAACTAGGGGGAGGAGCCTGGTAAAATGATTTAAAATACCATTTCCATGGTAACACGGAATGGTAGTGGTCAGAATTTTGAGTGTTTAAGCTTTATTTATTATTATTAAATTATATTTTATGATGATGTCTAAAATATGTGATAGGGAAATCAAAGCCATATATCTAAATAAATTGTGTTCCAAATTTGAAGTTGATATTACAAAAATTGAGGTTCCTGTGAGATTTTATTTAGGCGCTATATCAAAAACAGCCACCGGGTGACACCCAAACTCCATTGAGCGCATTTTCCAGTGACAAATTTATACATTTTTGTCACAATATTACTTTAATCATGAAATAACCACTGAATATGGAACCTTGAGACTCAGACCTTTCCAATGATACATGATTTGTCAAGATTTAAAAAAAGCTTTGATTAAAACATATTGTAGTAAATTTTGTAATAGGACACCTGACACCGCCCACTAGGGGGAGGAGCCAGCTAAAAGGATTTAAAGTACCATTTCCATGGTAACACAATGTCTGATTTGGTTTATATATGACACTTAACAAGTTAAATAAGTCTGGATGGCAAACTGAATGTACTAAGTATCAAGAGGTAATACGGTCTCTGTTGTGATGCTGATTTAATTAAGCTTTTAATAATGAGGCAGCAGGAGGTCAGTGAACAGTGGAGGTCATTTTCCTGTCTGTCTGCTGTAGTGATGAGCTGGGTGTGGAGCAGATGCCTGTGAAACGTCACTCAGACGCCGTCTTCACAGACAACTACAGCCGCTACCGCAAACAGATGGCGGCCAAGAAATACCTCAACTCAGTTCTGGCAGGAAAAAGGAGGTACGGCTCGAATAAAAGGCGAGCATCACTATTACTAGTGCGATTAAATGACACTATAATCACACATATTTACACTGAAGGAGTCAGAATGTCACAGAGAATACAAGCAAACACATAACAACACATTGACTAGAACAACCTAGCAACTGCATAGCAACGCATAGCAACACATCACCTGGAACAGCTGCATAGCAATGCACTGAAATACTAAGAATACCTTAGCAACCATATAGCAACACATCAACCAGAACATCCTAGCAACTGCATGGCAACAATTTTAAATATTCAGAACTCTTAGCAACCATGTAGCAACACATTGTCTGGAACACCCTAGCAACAGCATTGAAATATTCAAAACGCTAAGCAACCACATAGCAACATAACATCACACAGAACACCCTAGCAACTGCATAGCAATGCACTGAAATATTCAGAACACTTAGCAACCGCATAGCAACATATTGCCCTGATCAGCCTAGCAAATGCATAGCAATGCACTGAAATATTCAGAACACTTAGAAACCACAAAGCAATGTATTGCCCAGAACAGCCTAGCAACTGCATAGCAATGAACTGAAATATTTAGAACACTTAGCAACCACATAGCAACATATTGCCCAGAACACCCTAGCAACCGCATAGCAACAAACTGAAATACTTAGAACACTTAGCAACCACATAGCAACACACTGTCTGGAACACCCTAGCAACAGCATAGCAACAAACTGAAATATTCAAAACGCTAAGCAACCCCATAGCAACATAACATCACCCAGAACACCCTAGCAACTACATTGCAATGCACTGAAATATTCAGAACTCTTAGAAACCATGTAGCAGCAGAACATCACTCCGTAACAGCCTAGCAACTACATAGCAACACACTGAAATATTCACAACACTTAGCAACCACATAGCAATGTATTGCCCAGAACAGCCTAGCAACTGCACAGCAACAAACTGAAATAGAACACTTAGCAACCACATAGCAACACACTGTCTAGAACACCCTAGCAACAGCATAGCCTACGAATTGAAATATTCAAAATGCTAAGCAACCGTATAGCAACACAACATCACCTGGAACACCATAGCAACTGCATAACAACACACTGAAATATTCAGAACACTTAGCAACCACATAGCAACACATCATCACCCGTTAACACCCTAGCAACAGCATAGAATTGCCCTGGCAACCACCCATAGCAGTTTAACATGGGCAAAAATAATTTAGAGAATGTAAAAAGCATATATATATTTCTCTTTTATAGTCTGAATGCATTTGATTTTTCATTATAGAAAGTTTCTGATGGATTTTGATCTGTGGTTTAGGTGATGCACTCCCGCTCAAACGCTGCCTGTGCTCTTCAACATGTAAGTGCACGCATGTCTTTTCTAGTCTGTTAATAAATGCCGTCCCGAACGACATGGCTCTTTTTTAGTGTAGCTCTCTGAATTATGAATTAAAGATTAAGAATCATTTTGAAATGTCTGATTTTTCTCTTCTTAATCACATATAGTTGTCAAGTCAAACCTGATGTTCTGTAGAGGACACGGACGGCACAGCTTCAAGATTTCGCCATCATTATATATTCAAGCTTACACAATCTATTACGGCTGAAATTGAATAAACAGCACTAAACACAACACAAACTGAATGAGCGCGTCAGTGAATGTGATTCAGAATCCGTGTGAATGGCACGTCTGTTTGTTGTTGGCTGACTAATGCTGTTATGTCTATAGAAATCTATTTTGACTCTGCTGTCATTCTTGATAACTGAAATCAAACCAATAAAAATGATCATGTTTGTAAAAACAGTTTTGTCTGCTGCTGTCATTCCTGCTGGTTAACTTTATCAGCTTCACAAAATCATAAAATCACTAGAAAAATCTCTGTTGGATGTGATTCTTTGAATCCATTTATATGGAACTCGATTGATTCTGCGATAAAATAAAATAAAATAAAATAAAATAAAATAAAACATAGTGACTTTTTATCTGACAATTCTGACTTGTTTTTCCTCAATTAATTTACACTCAGAATTGTCAGATAAAAAGTCACAATGTTTTTTTTTTATTTTTTTATCCCTCATATAAACTCACAATTGCTAGACATAAACTCACAATTCTGAGAAGAATTGGTGGGAGGAAAACGTCAGAATAGCAAGATCCAAACCAGGGTTATTATAATTAACTACAATTAAAACTGACAGTAAAATTAATACCAGCAACATTATCGTTACTTGAAATAAGGTAAATGTTACAATAAAATATAAAAAACTTTTTATTTCAGCTATTTGCCAAGGCAACATTTATAAATTTAATTTAGATTGACTTGATGGACTAAAATAACTAAAACTAAAATAAAAATTAATAAAAAACTATACAGACATATTACAAAAAAAAAATACTGAAAATGACTAAAACACACAACAGAAATACTAAAACTTTAACTAAAATAAAAAAATGAAAAGAGAAAATATAAAAATAAAAGCTGATTAAAATATTAATGAAAACTATAATAGTGTCTCAATTATACTAAAATAGCACTGATGTAAATGCAATAAGTAAACAAACAAAAAAAGACAAAATTGAAAGACAAAATGTTGCAATTACCTTTTAAAAAAAAAAAATTATAATAATTCCATGGCGGGAACAAGTTTCTGATATCTATGTTCAGATATGATTTTTTTTAATTTTTTTATTATTATTTATTGAGAACCAAGCATTTTGTACAAACAAGAGTATGTATAACCAAAAAAAAAATAAAAAATACAGAAAAACATTGTACATCTTAAATAGTTACATAGTTTGTACTGCTTTCAAGTTTTTACTTTTAAATTTAGTTTCCAAATACATTTTAGAAATACATGTCAGTTTTAAATTGTTCAAACATCAAGTGGAAGTTCAAAGAGCGTCAGGGCTCTTATCTGCAGGAATGCTCTCAATGAGTGAGAGTTGACCACTATCAGCAGCACTAGCCCAATCACCGCCGGGTCAAAGGTCAGCGTGAGCTGAGGGCATGTCCTTGCTTTCCTTGTTTGTTTGTTTTTCAAATCATTTGACTTTATACCCAATGCTTTATTATTCATCATAACCGCGGTATCAACATCTATCCAGCAGATGGCGACAAATCACCAAATATCTACAGCTGTTTTTGGAAGCGTATCATTCCACGCTCTTCACACTATTTAGCCTTCAGTAGGCACATTTGTTTAGTATGCATGGAATATCCTATCAGGAATCCAGTGCATGTAATCATTTTCACCTAGCGACTACCCAAACGCCCTAGCAACTGCCAGAGCAAATAGCATTAAAATCATTAGAGGTTTCGGAGCAGTCTCTGATGCTTTATCTGGGTTTGCAGCTGCAGGTCAATCTGTGAATCTAATGGTGAGTGGACGGAAAGCAGGACATCCCCTCAGCTGACGCTGACCTTTGACCCCGCGGGGATTAGGCTAGTGCTGCTGATAGTGGTCAACTCTCACTCATTGAGAGCATTCCTGCAGATAAGAGCCCTGACGCTCTTTGAACTTCCACTGTGCAGAACAGAGTTCAAACACACACACAGCTGTTGCAGGTAGGGCTGCTTTGACTTTATACGCTTTCTATTAATGTGCAGTTTATGTTTTGAGTGCATTGATAGATGGTCAGTGAACAGAATATTCTGCACATTATTGATTTACTGATGACGGACACAATAACAGTCATTACCAGTGAAATATAAGCAATCTTTGCCTCCTTAAACTTATTTTCTTTTTTACTTGACATAAACCACGTGTCATCCACTGATGTTAAATAGTTACATTAGCTAAAAATACATAAAAATAATATTATAATATTATGTAATAGATTTTCTAATAATATGTCTATTATATACACACACACAAATATAA